ACACCTGTTGCTTTTCTTCTCATTTGTTGTGGTTGTTGTTGTGTTGTGATTGGTGCAGAAGTTGTTGTGTTGTGATTGGTGCAGAAGTTGTTATACGTGTACTGAAGGAACCTACAGGTGAGAGAGGGAGGGGGGGTGAATGAGAATAGAGGGAGACACAGGTAAGGAAGGAAGGAGGGGATAATGAGGAAACACAGGTAAGGAAGGAGAGTCATTACTACCTGTCCTCCTGAAGCGGCTGCAGGGTGATCTTAGGTCTCCCTCCTTCAGGTATAGTGTAAGACAGACCAGCGCTACCATCAACCTCACCTGGCTAGGGAGAGGGGGGGTGTCCTCCTCTATTGATTGACGTTAATGATGCTGATTCATCTCACCTGTCCCTCCACACCTACCTGTTTCTCCGGGGTGTGTGGTAGGAGCTTTTGATTGGTTGTCTCTGCGGGGTTCCTAGGAGGAGGGGGAGGGAGGGGGGGGAGGGGGGAGGGGGGAAGAAATTGGATGAGGTATATAGGCTTTTTTGTGGGGTGTGGGGGGAAGGGGATAATATGGGGTGATATTGGGTTGATTGGGTGAGTCACTAAGGTGAATTAGTCTATTGTGGGGTTATTGAGGGGGATTAGTAGATTGTTTTTACTCGGTCCTTGGCATCCTCAATAACTGTCAGTCACAAGTTATGGAAAAGTCATTGTCTTCGTGGTCGTTAAATGAGTTAATTTGATGTGGTGATACTGTTGCTGTTCCCCTTGACAACCAGCAGTCAATTAGCATCTATTAATTGCCATGGTTGCTAAGGACGCTATAAAGTGGGTGGAGCTAATGTTGCTGTGGTGGCTGATTGGTCGTCTCTTGTTTACACTTATATAGTAAAGGTTTAGTCTTCAGTGTGCCAGTGTGCTGTAGACAAGCCTCTGGGATCCACCACTCACTCGTCAGGTAATTAGCGATAGTCATGCATAGTAATTAAGACATCCTGGCCCCTGATTGGCTAAACTTATAATCATAGTAACCTAACCTAACTTTAAATGTAGTCAGGTGTTAAGTAAAGGTCTCCTGTTTAAATAATGTAGTTATGTTGTAAATTTGGTGGTATTTTTTGGTTAGTGTGTGTGTGTGTGTGTGTGTGTGTGTGTGTGTGTATCTCTCTCTCTCTCTTTCTCTCACTTCTCTATGTCTGTCTGTTTCTTTTTTAATTTTTTCTCTCTTTCCCTCTCATTTTCTTCTCTCTTTCTCACTTCCTCTTTCTCTCTCACTTTAACTCTCTTATCCTTATTACTCTCTCTCTCTCTCTCTCTCTCTCTCTCTCAGAACCCTCGGGGTAGGTCACCTCATTTTCTCTTAATCAAATTCCAGCCAATTTTCTCAAGAGCTGCTGCGAGTCTCTTTGTGTGCATTTGATGTCTCTTGCCCCGTTATTTGGAGTGTTTGATCTCTCTCTCTCTCTCTCTCTCTCTCTCTCTCTCTCTCTCTCTCTCTCTCTCATTGTCTCACTTAACGTCTTGACACGGCCGCTGTCTTGATAATGAGTAGCTCACTTAACCTAACCTAACCAAATCTAATATAACACTAATCTAGTTTAACGTGACCCAACCCAACCTTACTTAACCTTACCTAACCTAACCATGGGAGCCTATTATGACAAGGTCCAATTAAGAATGGGGCCGATTAGGATTGGGACCTATTAGAACGGGTACCAATTAGGCGAGGAGTGGAGGAGGGTTTAGAGACTGGGGGCTATTAGGACCGGGCCAATTAAGGTTAGGAGCTATCAGGTGTGGCGGTCCATTTAACCAACCGCCCTACCCCTTTACCTAATTACATGGTACATAAACAAACCAGGGGGGGGGTCTAATGTATTCTCTCTCTCTCTCTCTCTCTCTCTCTCTCTCTCTCTCTCTCGTCCTGTTGCTGTTTATGTCTCTCCGTCTATCTATTTATCTGAGTCTATCTGTCTCTGTATCTCTCTCTCTCTCTCTAAGAATTTTTGTTATCTTCAAGTTTGTATTCACACACACACACACACACACACACACTACTGTCATTTGTTCTCTTGTCTTCCCAGCGAACTCGGAGGATGGAACGTAGACTACGTTGGTGAAAGTTTTCAAGTGCCGTGAGGTGCCTCCTGTATGTGACCCATGTCTCGCTGCCATATAGCAGGGTGGCGAGGACCACTGCTCGATATATGTGTAACTTTGTAGATAATTTCAGCTCCCTACAGCTGAAGACACGGGTATGGCGTTGGACAGGTGTGACTGAACCAGGGACAGGCTGGAAGAGAATATGTGTCTTGCATACGTTCACCTCGAGGCCAGGGTGTTCATAAACGTGTGCGAGAGTGTTCCGGATCTCCTGTAGGTCGCGTTCAATGGACGAGGAAGGTGAGGTCGTCTGCAAACTGAAGTTAGGTGATGGAAGCGGCCCACACCTTTGTTCTTACGTTGACGAGCCCGTTCATCCAGTGTTGAATGTCCGCCCCGCCGGCCGGATAGAGTGGCTGTGGCGCGGGTAAGGAAGGCCACCCAGACGATGGGAAAGACAGATGGTGGCCCTACAAAAATTTACACTCCACCACCTGACAGTGTATACATTTCCTTGGCAAGTGTACAGAGGTGTAGTGTACAGTTAGGAGGAGACCCTGCCAACGCACTCTAGCTAGGAATCGAACCCGGGACACTTGACTTGAGAGAAGAAGGCGCCACCACTGAGCTGCGGAGTGATACAGTAATTAACCTCTATACCCTGTGTTGAGGTGGTGACGAGACCCGGTGGTAGTGTTGAGGGTCACAAACAGTTTATAATAATGGCGTCGTGTCCCGGAACATTCTTCACGTATGATGGTACACCTCTTAATTAATACATTTTCCCGCCCGAATATTATTAATTAAAACACTTAATTACGTTACTCTTTCTGAAGGTGAATCTTAATTAGTTCGTCATTAATATATATATATATATATATATATATATATATATAATGAATAGTTTAATACAAGACCTAACCTAACATAGCACACACGTCAATCACCGAACCCGACTCCTGCTTACATCAGGAGGAGGAGGAAGAAGGGTAAAGGGAGGGGCAGGAGGAGGAAGAATAAGGGCAAAGGGGGGAGGAGGAGGAAGAAGACGGGTAAAGGGAGGAAGAGGAGAAGGAAGGGGAAGAGGAGGAAGAAGAAGGGTAAAGGGAGGAAGAGGAGAAGGAAGGGGAAGAGGAGGAAGAGGAGGAGGCAGCCAGAGGAGGTTGTTCACGGAAACTCAATTTCACAGACGAAATGTCATGTTACTGTCCCGTGGAGCCACCAGCCTCGGCCTGTGTGTGTAGTGGTGGGTGATGGTGGTAGCTGATGGTGGTGATTGTGGTGGTTAGTGGGGGGGGGTGTAGGGGAGTCATTGATCCTACTGTTTGGGGTTTCATTTCCTGTTGAGTAATCGGTGTGTGTGTGTGTGTGTGTGTGTGTGTGTGTGTGTGTGTGTTTTCATAATAACAACAAGAGTAGAGACACAACACCTGGTGGTTATTAATAAAAGGTTGTACACTCGTGGTTGTAAACAGTCAATCGGAAACAAGAGAGTTGTGTGTTGTGATAGGAACGCTAACACACACACACACACCTGTTGACAGTGCTCCTCCACTTGGGCAAGTCACTGGGGCGCCAACACCAGCCAACGCTCCGTCTGAGGCTCCATTAAGGCCAGATTGATGGCGGGAATCTTGGCGTAAACATTGGCGGCCTGGAGTAGTGACGTGTGCCACCACCATTATCATCATCACCACGACAATTAATTATCACCACCACAATCACCACCACCACCACCATAACCACAACCACCACCACCTCCGCGAGTCTTCTTTCACGGTAACTGAACAAGTTAATGGTCTATTGTTCACCGTGGCCACTACTACTGCCTGCTAGTGTAGAAGACCAGAATTATAGTTCATGGCCATTCCCTGGGCCACCCGCACCTCCCTACCAAAAACCATTACTGTATAAAACTGTGGACACGCATAACAAACATAGAGACACACAGGTAATCTATTTTGTATATATTGGTGGTTTACCTGTACTGTATACCTGTTCACTACGCCAGGTAATGTGTCTAATTACTAGCGTTATAAAGAGTGCGGATCACCTGAAGATTACCCCCCCCCCTTTAGCTTAATTCACCCGATGATTAAACAACCTAACACTATCTGGAGGGGTTAGGTTAGGTCAGGTCATGTTAGGTTAGGGTAGGGTACGTCATGTCATGTTAGGTTAGGTCAGGTCATGCTAGATTAGGTTAGCGTTGGGGTGGCTAATCTTCAGGTGACTCGAAAAAGTGACTGAAAAATATAAAGGAAAAAAAATTAAAGAAACTAAAAGATGAAAAATAAACAAGAAATAAAAATTGAGAACAAGGAAAAAATACAAAGGAAAAAAACCACTTCATATAAACTTGTTATTAAAATTTAATTAAAACATTCTAAAGATGAAATTGAGTTTCTGGCACCCACCTACCCCCTCCTTCCTTCCTTCCCTCCTTCCTTTACCCCTCCTTCCCTCTCACCCACCTACCCCTTCCCCTCCTTCCTTCCTTTCCTCCTCTCTCTCCCCTCCCTTCAACCCTCCCCAACCCCCCATGCCTACTTTACCCTATCCCTTCCTCCACTCCCTTCCTTACCCCTCCATTACTCCCTTCCCCCCTTCCCTCCTCCTCTTCCCCCTTCTTCTCCCCTCCCCCCTTCCTTCCCTCCCCGTCACTGATGATGTAGAGCAAAAAAATGATCACGAGTTTCAATTTCTGGAGTAAATATTGTGTTTAAATATGGCATGTGAGAGAGAGAGAGAGAGAGAGAGAGAGAGAGAGAGAGAGAGAGAGAGAGAGAGAGAGAGGCAACATGACGTAGGTTTTTGCAACACTAAACAAAATTAAAACAATAAAATAAACTACCAATATATTTTGTAATGTTATTTTTTGCCATAATAAAGATATAATTATTTTTCTTCTTAATTTTCCAGGTAAGTTTGGGGCTTATCGTCTCATGTGTTTTCCAATTAACCTGCCTTGATGACGTGTTGATGAGGGGCAGAAGGTAATCTAGCCTTCATTGATGACGTTTCCACCTGTTGATGACGTCGTGAGTTACCTGGTTATTATGACGTAGGTTACCTGGTTAGAATGTTATTAATTACGTGTTGACGAGATACAACATTTATCCATTGTTACTTTTTATTTATCGTAGTTCTATATTAAGTTAGAATGTTAAGAATGTTTTACTCTTGATCGAAACTTGACTACACAATAAATCATTCTATCTACATTCTCTGACATTCTTTAAGTAATTTTGATCAAGAATGAGATATTAGAATACTGAATGTGAGAATGAGTTATGTACATTCTTTTAATATTTTTTTAGATGAATAATAAATGTTGTTGAATATTTAAAAGAACGTCGACATTCTATTGACTTTGTAACAAGCAGTTTGTTTACGTTCTCCAAGTCTTCTTCTGCCTCGGTGTGTGTATGTGTGTGTGTGTGTGTGTGTGTGTGTGTGTGTGTGTGTGTGTGTGTGGTGTGTGTGTGTGAATTTTTTTACCTCCCCTGAACACTGAAGAGGAGTAGGAAGGATGAGAGTGAGTGGGGGTATAGGAGAGGGTGGTTAGAAGGGGTAGAGAGGGAAGGGTTAGGGTGGGAGGGGTGAGAGGGGGCGACAGTGAGAGGGAAGAGGGGTGTTGACTATAAGACCTCAATAGGGACACTTTGTAGGCATTGTCTTTGATTACTGGTAATAGGATTTAGAACAGGCGGTGCAATATTCACAAAGCCCACCCCTGACCCCCCTGATTCCCCTCTTCCCTCCTTATCCCTCCTAACTTGCCCCCTTGTGTAGAATCTCTCACTCGGCTCTATTAAATGTTAGAGACTCGGCTGTAATAGAGTTTCAGAATATGCATTTTATTCAGTAATAATTCAGCACACACACACACACACACACACACGCACACACACAGCACACACACAAACACACACACACGCACAGAGGAGCTTATAAGTCTACTGGGAATACACTGAACTAATTTTATGGTCTTTCCTTAATGTGTCAGTGAGGAGAGAGAGAGAGAGAGAGGGAGAGAGAGAGAGAGAGAGAGAGAGAGAGAGAGAGAGAGTCAGCATGTATATAATTTGGTTATGAAGCATGAATTAAACAATATTTTGTTTGTATTATTGTCAAATGATCCAATACTGAACTAGTGATTTATTTTCGTTTAAGTATCATGTTACGGAGTTAATGACCGCCCGTTAATGAGGGTTTCCGTAATAGGGTGTGCCAATTACGCAAGGGTTGTAATAGGCACGAAATAGGTGGATTGATTTTGGGTAGAGAGTTGCTCTTAACAAAATAACAACAACAACAACAACAATAATAATAATAACAACAACAATAACAACAACATCAATAACAACAACAACACGAACGACGACAACAACACTAATAACAACAACAACAACAATATTTTTAAGGTATTTTTCAGCTCATTTGACTCTCCTCAGTCAAATCGAGCCTGGTTATTCACGGCTTGGTGTTGACCTTTGACCTATACCGACCTGTGAACTGCCAAGGTCATCCCAGCCACTAGTGTCAAGGACGGAGAGGTTACAGGTGTGTTAGAGATAGGCCTCGACACCTGAATGACGTCGATCTCTTGTTGGTAGGAAGAGGAGAGGAAAGAGAAGAGGAGGAGAGGGAGGGGAAGGAAAGAGAGAAAGAGA